CTATTCATACTCCACTTTAAATACACTCCACATACTCCCATTCTAGTCCATAACCGTCATTAAGCCTTAAACCTAAAATCATCATCCTTCTCTCTAAAAATCTCCAAAACCCAAAATTCTCCAGAAATTCTTCACCATGACTACTCCTCAAGAAAATCCAGGAACTCCCCTACCAGTATCTCCTAACACACCCTCATCTGCACCTCCTAGCGACGATCTTAAACCAAGATTTCGCCGGCAGAAAATGTTGGCAAGAAAGACTGTGGCTGCTGGTGTTCTGAGAACGGCTCTAAACGAAAAATTGAGAGCCAGTCGGAAAAAGGAGAGCTCTGAAAAGGAATCATCTGACTCGAGTTCTGAGTCTGAAGCGTTTGTTTCTGCAAGCAATGGAGAAGAACGTGGGTCTTCTGACTCAGACAAGAATCAAGAAAACCCTCGGGAGGTAAATACATGATATGTTTTTTCTGATGTAGTTGAGAAGGTGGACAATAGGTTTGTGTTGGTGGGTTCTGTGAGAGATGTAAATGAGGGAGAGTCGAGTAGAAAGGGAAAGAAAAAGAAAGATAGCATTCTTGCTATTTGTGGAGGAATAGAGGAGAGTGGCAACAAGCCATGGGGAAGTGAAACTGGGGAGGCTGCTGAAGGCCTTGTACACCTGAGTGAACAACAAGATGAACCTGGTTCATCTGTGGAAGAAACCTTGGCTGACATTCTGAAGAAGGTTGGGGCAAGCTATGATCCCAAGAAGCGCAAAGCTTCTTCTCAAAAGGCTCCAACCGCCTCTAAGCCAACAAAGAAGAGCAAGGTGTCATCTCCTAAGTCTACTGTCCCTTCAGTACCAAAGGTGAAAGCTACTAGAAGCAGGGTAAAGCAAAGTGAGGCTGAGTTGCAGAAAGCCTTAGAGGCAAGCAAGAAAAAGAAGAAGGAAAAGCAAAAAGCTAAAGTTGTGGAAAGTTCTGTGGCTGCAGAAGAAGAGGAGGAGGAGATGGAATTGGTCCATCAGGAAAGAGGTACAACTGAGGAGGTTCCCACTCCTACACCAAAGAGATCCAAGACTTCTACCAAGAAGTCTTCAGAATCTGTATCTGCTGAACCCTCCCTTGCAAAAAGAACCAGGTCTGCAGTCAAAGGAAAACAAGTGAAAGTTCCTGAAGAAGAAGAAGCATGGAGTGGAGAGGAAGAAGAAGAGGAATCTGAAAAAGAACAGGACAGATTTGTCCTTTTTGGCAGGAAAAAGATATTGAAAGGAAGAATTCTGAAAGACCTGGAGGAGCCAGACATGAAAAGATTGGTTGATGCCCTGAATGCACAGGGGTGGAAGGACATGGTTCTTCAACTGGATGGCAGGCTGGCAAGGAAAGAGCTGATCGAGTTTATAGCAAATGCCACGGTGGTGAATGGGGTTGTTACAAGCTTGGTGAGGGGAGTAGAGGTGCAGTTTGATGCACCTAAATTGGGCAGAATTCTAGACATACCCTGTAAGGGCTATGATGACTATACTAGGCAAAGGTGGCCTTGTCTAGATTATCTCCCTTCTGCTCTCCAAATCACCAGAAATTTCTGTGATACCAAGTCTGCTGAAGAAGTGCCTGAGGCTAGGTTTGTGCAAAAGAGTGAGATGAAGCCTGAGCACAAGGTGCTTTTTGAGTTTGTGAACAAGTGTTTGCTGCCTAGACAGGAGAGAAGGCACACTGCAAATTATATGGACCCGGTCCTTCTGGAGTGTCTTGTGAGAGGAAAGCAGATTAACTGGCCTGCTTTCATTGTCAAGCTGCTGGATAGAGTCATCAATGGCTCCAAGGCCCATGCCACACCTTATGGGTTTATATTGACAACTGTCTTGGCCAAGTTAGATGTGCCATTGAAAAAGTGGGAGATGGCCTCCAGCAAAGAGCATTTTGGAATCAAAACTCTGCAGGCTTGTGACTATCTACTAAGTGTAACCCCAGTTGAACCTGGTTCATCCTTGAAGACTCCTGTGAACAGCAAAGTTAGGGCATTGGTTCTAGAGTGTGAAACAAAAGATGCAGAAATTGCTAGGCTCCAGGCTCGCATTGCTGAACTAGAAAGTGAAAGAAATGGCCTCAAAGCTGAGCTAGCAAAGGAAAAGGAAAAGAGTGAAGGGATGCTCCAAACAATGCTTAATCTTCTTCAATCCCAACCCTCTAGTTCCTCCAAGCCCTAGAACCAGTTTAGAAACCCCCTCAGTGACCCAGATTCGGGACTTTTCTCTGTTTTTTTTTGTTGCTCATGGTTGGATGTTTGTTTTTCTTTTTGTGGTCTGTTTTGTAGAAACACCTCCTAATCAATGACAATGTGCTTTGTTTTCTCTTGTTCTATGAAACTTCTGATCTTAATAGCTAAATTTCTTGTGAAGTTGATTATTGATTAACTGAATCATGTTTTCACTTGCAGTTGCCCCAGTGGCCATGAGTAATAATTAACATCTGGGATTCATATAATATGCAACTTTTCGATGATGCCAAAAGGGGGAAGAGATATTGTGCTTTACTTTGTATTCTGATAATAAAGTGATATTTATAACCTGATTAAACCTGGTCCTTAATGATAAGTTAAATTAAAGTGTGATAATTAAGCTGAGTTCCACAGGGTCTCTGATCAATAAAAGCACAGAGTTTGTCATCATCAAAAAGGGGGAATTTGTTGGCCCAAGTTCAGATGAAGTTTTGAAGATTGACAAAATGAACTCAGTCATGAACCAGGTCCATCATGTGAGACAGACACAGTGTTGATATACTTATACATGTGACATACGTGTGAAGATAAGTCTCAAGGGTCAGCAACAATATCTTCTGAGTTGATCGAAAAGGTTGCATAGGATAAGGAGTTGAAGTCTCCTTATGTGAAGAGAACTACATCCGGATCAAGAATAAGGATTGGAGTTTGAATTGTTCTAGGACTCGAATTTGATGAAGGATCAGCAATTCGAGTTTTAATCAAACTCTGATTACTAACTCTATAAATAATAATGATTGTTCTCTTTTACAGGGATTGCACAAACGCAGAAGTGAAACTAAATTGAAGAGCAAAATAGCAAGGCTTTTTGCAAGCAATTTACGTGAGATTCAAGTGTGCATTCTTGAAGCTACTTGGACAAGATAGAAGAACCAATTCCATTGTGTCTTTCTTTTGTTCTAGTTCAATTATAGTAGGTATTTTTAAGTTGTACCTTTCAGCTTTCATAGAAGCAATTGTATTAGGTACTTTGAATATTCAAGTTAGAGTTAACTTGAAAGTGTCGCAGCAGTTGAGGCTGTGTGCCACACTGGGATTAGAGTTTAATCCTTAGGTTTACAAGAGTTTTGTAAATGCTGTTTTGGCTCAGTGATTTTAGTGGAAGTTTGGGAAAATCCTACTGAGTAGTAGGTCGTGGTTTTTTCACCTTTTGAGCCAGGTGTTTTCCACGTAAAAATCTCTGTGTTCTTTATTTTATGCACTCTTAATTCCGCAAACAGTCATAGTAAGTACATCTAGAAGAACCAGGTTCTTCTAGTGCGAAAATTAGGTACCACACAAATCACCCCTCCTCTTGTGTGGTATTGACGTGTAGAACATCACTTATGCTCATGTGAGGGATGGAAAACTTGAGCCGAGGGCAAAGAAGTGCATATTTCTAGGGTATGCAACTGGAGTGAAAGGTTATAGGTTGTGGTGCACAGATAAAAAGACTCCAGGGCTAATTATCAGTAGGGATGTAACATTCAATGAATCTGCCTCACTGGACAGTCAGAGGGAGAAGGCAATAGCAGAAACAGATCGTGGTGTCAGTGACCACATAGAGCTAGAAATTGAATCTCCACTAGCTCAGCCCAGTAGTTCTAAAGTAGAGGAAGTGAAGGAGGTGCAAAATATTGATCAAGACGATAATGTTGATGCACCTGTGCAACAACCCTATAGCATTGCAACAGGCAGAGAGAAGAGAGTGATGAACCGACCGCAAAGGTTTGCAAACGTAGTTGACGGGAATCTTCTTGGATATACGAATCCTATGGGATTTGCTTTGGCAGTTGCAGAGACCGTTGATGCGTTTGAGTGTTATAGCTATCCAGAAGCTATTCCGAGTATAGAACCAAATCGACGGATTAGTGCTATGGCTGAAGAGATTAAGTCTCTTAACAAGTTTAGGCGTTGCCTAGACTTGGTTGATGCGTGCGGCAATCAATAGAGCCCTTGCGAGGGCTGAGGGCAAGGTAGAGAGACGTTGTTCCTGTTGATGAAGAGAATTCAAGCCAAGGGGAAGATTTGTTATTTGTGGCTTGAATTATTTCCTTGTATTTTCAAGAAACCCATAGTCCCTATAGGTTTAGGAAAACCCATTGTCCTAATAGATTTGGGAAAGGAAAACCTATAGTCCTTGTCAAATAGGGAAACCTTTCTCATATATGTTTGGGACCTTTTGGGATCTATATATAGGGGTTGTAGTTGGGGATTCTATAGATTGTATTGCACTTTTCTTCTCATTCATAGTGGAAAACTCTCTCTTCTTTTGCCCCGAGGATTAGGCTTAGCTGAACCTCATTAAATCCTTGTGTTGATTTTTCTTCTCTATTTGCTTTGTGTGTGATTGTGTGCTAGTTAACCCACGATATTCCGCAACAGAAAGAGTTCTCATGATCTCCATTTTTTGGTCTATCCATTAAAACATTTGCAATCTTAATGAATATGACTAGTCCATGATCTGATATTTAAAACATCAACAAAGGAGTAAAAGTTCCAACTATTTTCCTGTTACACAGAATATGAATAGTCCATGATCTGATATTTAAAATATCATTTTATTGTCAAAATTGTTATTGGAGGAATCAAAAGTGAAATACTATTATACAAATCGAATCAGAACTTCAAATAATTGAGGGACTAAAACATTATTAAACAAAATAAAATATTATAGTAGTTAGCATTGTGGCCTTGCTGTGCGGGAGCGGGGCTGCTACGACATAATTGACCCTTGAACCCGCAGAAAGGGTAAAATGATACTTTAACACTGAAATGGTCACCATATTTTTAATCTTCTGCAAATCCTTTAAAGTCATCATCTTTAACCATAGTCATAACAGATCTATTCCTAGCTAACCGATCATTCATTATTCCAAAGTTTGATGCACCAATGATGGGACCAAAAATCCATATTTTTTCAAGAAAATTAATAAAACCGTCAAATCCAACTCCAAAGCATCTTCAAAGCTTCAAGTTATCTATATTTGATCAACTTGCTCCTTCATACCATATCAAGATCATTCTCTATTATTCCATCAATGGAGAAAACAAAGCTTCTAATAATTCTCAATTACTTACACAATTGGAGGAACCATTGGCTCACTCTTTATCCAAGTTTTACCCGCTAGCTGGAAGACTTGTCAAAGATCAAGAACATCTCTTTATTGATTGCAGTGACCAAGGTATTGAATATTTAGAAGCTAAATTTGATGGTGAACTAGCTGAGTTGCTACATCAAAGACTTGATGTTGAGAATTTGGATCAACTTTTACCACAAGAAGTTTGTCCAGCTGACTCTGCCACAACTCCATTAGTGACTATCCAAACCACTTCATTTTATTGCGGAGGACTTTCTATTGGGATGTGCGTTTCTCACAAAGTTGCAGATACTTCCACAATCCTTTCATTTATCAATGGATGGGCCAAAGCAAATCAAGGAGAGAATATCAATAAGGTTTTGTGCCCGGATTTTGGAGTTCCTTCATTGTTTCCACTTAAAAACTCTATAGTTCAGAACATCCCTGAAATTGCTGAACACATGGAAGTGAAAATAGTAACGAGAAGATTTCTGTTTGATGGGTCCGAAATTGCTAAACTTAAAGACTTATTCAAGGAAAATGCAACTACCGACCAAGAAATCCAACCTACACGAGTGACATTAGTGACTGCTGTCATATGGAAGGCTTTAATCAGTGTGGCTCAAGCCAAACATGGTCAATTACGGCCTTCTTTACTAGTCATTGTTATTAACTTGCGGGGAAGAACTGCAGTTGTTCCCATTTCTAAAAATGCTTTTGGTAACTCTTGGACTACAATCAATGCTCGCTTTACTCCAACAGGGAATATATTAGAATGGTTTCATTTGGTACCACTGCTGTCCGATGCAGTGAGAAACACTTCCAAGTTCATTAGTAAAGCAAGTACTGAGGAGATTTCTTTGTTAGCAGTTACAAATTTTAAAGAGGAACAAGAAGGGTTTCGTAAAAACAGCGGCGTTGATGCATTTATATGTACCAGTTGGAGTAAGTTACCAGCATATGACGCTGACTTTGGTTGGGGAAGGCCTTCTTGGGTTAGCAGTGCACGTCGCTGCTGTGAAATGATGACTCTGTTGGATAGCAAATGTGGTGACGGAATTGAAGTATGGGTGTCTTTGAATGAGAAAGACATGTATGAACTTGAACGTGATAAAGATATACGGTCAAAATCATTTGTCTTCGATCTATAGGCTCGAGGGGTCGTCTTAATTAAGACTGAGATCAGAAAGGACGAGTTCGAGCCCGATGGACCAGACTCGAGCTCGAAGATAGGATGCAATGCCCGAGGATCAAAGTACGATGAATACCGAAGCCAAGTATGCTCAACCCCGAAATAATGCCGTTATGTATCTCTAACAGAATGAGCGAGATTCCTGTCACGTCCCCAAAATCATGGCGCAAATCCCGGAATAGAATTGTACGATTCCATATTAGGCGGTTAGATAGTTGTCCCAATAAAATTCCTTACTGTAAATGAAAATGTACCTTATTTAGGGTTCCCCTATTATATAAAAGGGAACCCAATCATTTATAAACACCATCCAATCATTGGCAAAGAATATACTATCTTATTTTTCTGGCTCATTGTTCATCAGACTTGTCTTTTCTCTTTATTGTTCTTACTTTATTGTTCTTGGTTCATCTCGAGGTTACTAAGCTCGAGGCTGATACTGTTTGGTAACACTAGGTTTGATTCATTCATTTCTTTCATCTACACTTTATACTTCTTGATTATTAATTGGTATTGAACTAAATCATATATCTTTAAAACCACAAGTCAAATTTAATTATTACTCGTATTTTCGAGGTAAACAGTTTGGCGCCCCCGTGGGGCTAAAGATAATAGTGATTATTTTATTATCGATTCACATAACACACGTTATCTTTACACTTTTTCTTGTCAAGAATGTTTGATTCTCAGGATTAAACATGTCGAACTCGCAAAATACACCTATTCATGACAGCGAAGGTCTCGGATTTCATGGCGAAAACAACAACGTAGGGGTCGATGTACCACCGATAAACCCAGGGGAAATGCCAAATGTGGAACCAGTTGATATTAGTTCGCACATTGCCTTGAATGCAGATCTAGGCACAGACCCCGGAGGGAGTGTATGCAGGGAAGCCCGATCTGGAGGCGAAGGAACACCAGGAATAGGAGATGGGGGAGTCAGCCTCCAAGTGATATTCGAGATGCTGCAAGCTCAGCAAATTGCCATCGCTCAACTTCAGAGTCAGAACAAAACTTCGAGTATAGCTGAACTGGAAGACACTCGACGTGCTGAACCGACGCCAGAGATGTCAAACAAAAATGGCTCGGGGACTGACCCCACTATTATGAGAATGCTCGAAGAGCTCACCAAGAGGATAAAGTCCGGGGAAAAGAAGATTGAGGACAATGACAAGAAGGTGGAGACTTATAACTCCCGTGTTGATCAAATACCATAGGCACCCCCGGTCTTGAAGGGTTTAGATGCCAAAAAGTTCGTACAAAAACTATTCCCTCAAAGCGCGGCTCCGATGCCCATTCCTAAGAAGTTTCGCATGCCCGATATACCCAAATATAACGGGACAACCGACCCTAACGAGCATATTACTTCATACACTTGCAGGATCAAAGGAAATGACTTGAATGACGATGAGATCGAATCAGTATTGTGAAAAAAAGTTTGGGGAAACATTGTCAAAAGGAGCCAAGATTTGGTATCATAACTTGCCTCCTAACTCTATTGATTCGTTTGCTATGTTAGCAGACGCCTTTGCGAAAGCACACGCCGGGGCCATAAAGGTAGCAACAAGGAAATCAGACGTCTTCAAGATAAACAAAGGAATGACGAGATGTTGAGGGAGTTCGTGTCCAGGTTTCAGATGGAGCGAATGGAATTACCACCGGTCTCGGATGACTGGGCAGTACAAGCTTTTATGTAGGGTTTGAATGAAAAGAGTTCGATTGCGTCTCGATAATGAAAGCAGAATCTGATCGAGTATCCAGCTGACGTGGTCGGATGTACATAACCGTTACCAATCGAAGATTAGGGTCGAGAATGACCAGTTGGGAGCCCCCTCGGGTTCAGTTCAGCCTAACATATCGGCAGCTAAGCCCCCGAGGGATACAGACAGGGAATCGAGGTCAAACAAAGAACGGTATTAGTCGTATGTCGATCGGAGAAATAATGGTTCCAACCGTAACGCTTCTTGGAATGATCAGAAAAAAGATCGAGGTCAAAGCTCTCGGGGACTCATGAGTAAGAGCGGGTTTGATAAACACACCGACCCCTCGGAGGCACCTCGATTGTTAGAGTATAATTTCAGTGTAGACGCATTAGGGATCGTGTCAGCTATTGGAAGAATCAAAGACACCAGGTGTCCCAGGCCCATACAAACCGATCCTTCTCAAAGGAATCCAAACATAATGTGTAAGTATCATGGCACACATGGACATAGAACCGAAAACTGCAGGCAGCTAAGGGAGGAGGTAGCTCAACTGTTTAATGAGGGTCACCTTTGAGAATTTCTCAGTGATCGGGCTAAAAACCACTTTAAGGAAAGAGATGCAAGAAAAAATCAGCAAGAAGAACCACAACATGTGATCCATATGATCGTTGATGGTGTCGATGTCCCACGAGGACCCGTATTCAAGCGCACAAAGGTGTCGATCACCAGAGAAAAGCGGACTCAGAGCTATGTGCCCGAGGACATCTTTTCGTTTTATGACATGGAAGCAGAAGGCATATTCAGCCGCACAATGACACCCTGGTAATTTCTATTCTTTTAAATAAAATTCAAGTTAAACGTGTTATAGTGGATCCAGGTAGCTCAGCGAACATAATCAGATCAAGGGTCGTAGAACAGCTCGGCCTACAGGATCAGATTATACCTGCATCCCGGGTCCTAAATGGCTTTAACATGGCAAGCGAAACAACAAAAGGGGAGATAATCCTGCCGGTCGACGTAGCCGAGACCATACAAGATACAAAATTCCATGTCATCGAAAGCGACATGAGGTATAATGCACTCCTCGGGAGACCATGGATACACAACATGAGGGCGGTACCTTCAACTCTTTATCAGATGATGAAGTTCCCAATGAAGGACGGTGTGAAAATGGTCTACGGAGAGCAAACATGCTGCAAAGGAAATATTTGTAGTCGATGAAGTGACGCCGATACCAGAGCCTTTGACCTCGGAGAAATCAAGCATCAAGGGTAAGCAGGCGGCTAAATAGCAATCACCGCTCCCCAGCCTCGACGGAATCGGAGCAACAGGTAATCGAAGACGAAGAAGAGGATTTCCTTACTCCTCGAACCTTCGTCGTTCCCGAAGAGTCCGATGCAACCAAATCAGCTGTCGAGGAACTGAAGCAGGTCATACTGATCGAATACATGCCCTAGAAGAAGGTATACATGGGAACGGGATTAACCCCCAAATCAGGAAAAAACTCATTCAATTTCTTATTGATAACATGGATTGCTTTGCTTGGTCCCACTTAGATATGACAGGGATTCCACCGGAAATAACAACACATCAGTTAAGCCTCGACCCCGGGTTCAAACCGGTAAAGCAAAAAAGGAGGCCCCAGTCCGAGGTGAAACGTACATTCATAAAGGACGAGGTAACCAAATTCCTTAAAATAGGGTTTATTCGGGAGGTAAAATACCCCGAATGGTTAGCCAACGTAGTTTTAGTTCCTAAAAAAGGAAATAAACTTAGAATGTGCGTAGATTACAAGGATTTAAACAAAGCATGTCCGAAAGATTCTTTCCCAGTGCCCAACATCGATCGTATGATCGATACCACGGCCGGCCACGAGATCCTAACTTTTCTCGATGCCTACTCCGGGTATAATCAAATTCAGATGAACCCGGAGGACTAGGAAAAGACTTCGTTTATCACTAAATTTCGAACTTATTGTTACAACGTAATGCCCTTCGGGCTACAAAATGCAGGAGCTATATACCAACGCCTAGTTAACAAAATGTTCGAAGAACAGATAGGTAAAACAATGGAAGTTTACATTGATGATATGTTGCGCGCAGAGGACCATTTAACTCATTTGCAGGAAACATTCGAAATTTTGAGAAAGTACAAAATGAAGCTTAACCCGGAGAAATGTGCCTTCGGAGTTGGCTCGGGTAAGCTCCTCGGTTTTCATGGTCTCAAATCGGGGTATCAAAATTAATCCCGACAAGATCAAGGCCATCTAGGATATCACGGTCGTGGATAGTGTGAAGGGCGTGCAAAGGCTGACTGGACGAATAGCTTCTTTGGGTCGATTCATTTCGAGGTCATCAGATCGAAGTCACCGGTTCTTTTCCTTGCTTAAAAAGAAGAATGACTTCGCGTGGACCTCGGAATGCCAGCAAGCCTTGGAAGAATTGAAGCGATACTTATCGAGCCCGCCTTTGCTTCACACCCCGAAGATAGATGAAAAACTTTACCTATACTTGGCAGTATCCGAGATAGCGGTAAGTGGGGTACTAGTTCAAGAAGAGCAAGGTACGCAATTTCCTGTTTATTATGTAAGTCGAACTCTAAGGGATGCTGAAACTAGATATCCTCACTTAGATAAATTAGCACTTGCATTGATAAGCGCATCTAGAAAGCTAAAACCATATTTTCAATGTCATCCCATATGCGTATTAACAACTTACCCCTTTGAAATGTTTTGCATAAGCCCGAGCTATCGGGCCGGTTGGCCAAATGGGCCGTCGAACTTAGCGGGGACGATATCGAGTATCAACCCCGAACGGCCATCAAGTCACAAATCCTAGCTGACTTCGTGGCCAATTTTACGTCGACACTCGTACCCTAAGTGGAGAAAGAACTCCTGCTAAGATTGGGTACATCATCGGGTGGCACCATTAGACAATCTATCAAAACTTCTAGGTTGACTAATAATGAAGCCGAGTATGAGGCCTTGATTGCAGGTCTCGAGCTAGCTAAGAGCTTGGGAGCAGAAGTCATTGAAGCCAAGTGCGATTCACTGTTGGTGGTAAACCAAGTAAACAAGAGTTTTGAGGTTCGAGAGGACAGGATGCAATGGTACTTGGATAAGCTATAGGTAACTCTGCACCGCTTCAAGGAGTGGACTTTGGATCACGTGCCTCGAGAACAAAATAGTGAGGCCGATGCACTTGCTAACCTGGGATCCTCGGTTGAAGAAGATGACATCGTCCTGGGGACTATCGTCCAATTATCGAGGTCTGTGGTTGAAGAGGGCCATGCCGAGATAAATTCTACAAGCCTGACTTGGGATTGGAGGAATAAGTACATCGATTATTTGAAAAATTGAAAACTCCCATCGGACCACAAAGAATCGGGGGCCCTACGAACCAAGGCTGCTAGGTTCGCATTAGATAAAGATGGAACATTGTGCAGGAGAACGTTCGATGGACCATTAGAGGTATGGTTAGGTCTAAGGGACACCGATTACGTTCTACGAGAAATCCACGAAGGTACTTGTGGAAATCACTCCGACGCCGAGTCTTTAACTCGCAAAATTATCAGAGCAGAGTATTAGTGGGACAGCATGGAGAAAGATACTAAGGAGTTTGTCAAAAAATGTGATAAATGCCAGCG